ATCAAATCCTTTTGCATTTACTGCGGACGCAATTATCCTACAAATTACATGAATTGCGAATAAGAATCTCTGACGACCGACGATTCTCTTTGCTATCAGTACAAACGTTATTTTCGACGATATCTCGTATTGTCGCTTCTTACGACGACACGGTTTAACCGGAGCACGAATTGAAATTTGCCAGCATCTGCGGAATGTCAGGAACGCCGTCGTGATCCTGTCGGTACCCAAGAACTGGGGAGGTTGAGGTAAAGGTAAAGCGAAAAGGCGGAGGTCCAATCGCGTCAACGAGATTACATCGTAGAATTTCATGCTCTCTCTCTCTCGTATTACCAAAATCAAAATCTCTTCCCACGTTTTCGCTTATAGCCGGTTTACACGATTGAGGATGTCATATTAAGTAACAAGTGTCTAAACGTTTGCACAATTGCAAAAATTTCAGGGTAGATGATCAGAGAAAAATGAATCTTGATGACAAACAGAAATAGTTAAGCAAACGTAAAGTATTTTCACAATCTTCCACCACATGTACTGTTTCATTATATTTCGCTCAGCGTTCGTTAATTATTTAAAAACCACTTTATTTTATACCTATAAACTATAAACATTTGTATTTTTTGAAATGTTAATTTTACACAGGAAATTGGATCGTTTTACACATGTAATGAAGAAACCATCAACAGAATTGAGTTGAGAGGAACGCGAATCCATAATACATTCAAATGAAATTCAAACTGTCTTTTACGTGAGACATTTGCAGAAATTGGGAACTTTTGAAAAGCACGTTAGAAAAGTCATGAATTCATTAGTCGTTATAACCGAATCATCAAACGACACGTTGGCTAAGGATACGCAAGAAGGTCTGCGAAGTTACTCGACACGACGCAGGCGTCCCCGTAATCCGTGTCGACGTCGCTTCATAGCTGTTAAGACCATGTTACAAAGGCGGCGGCGTAATGTGGCTCGGGAGTCGCTCTTCAGCCAAGATGCGGCATTAACAGCGCGTTTCTTGCGCGTCTGCGAACTCGTCGGATTAGAACAAGTGACTTTTACGCGACAATTCTGCACGCATAAGACGCAAATGCGGGAGGATGTTTCGCGTCAGGCAATGTTAGATAAATATTCAAGTAACAAACACCAGCAATACGAGAGAATTTTAAATATTTTAATATTCCTAGCGGAAGATAAACGACGAGTTGCCAACAAAATGTAAATAAGTAAAGAAAAGGAAATATGAAAAATAGGAAAAAATAAAGCAAACCAGGAAGTAAATGTAGATGATAAGAAGAAAAGCATACCTATACATTTAAAAAATTATGGCATACAATCATAATGTCTCGTGTTCATATAATTAAAAATTTTTATCTATATTCGATTAATCAGGAAAACAAAGATGGGAAGACCGCGTTTTCGAATAATCGTTAGCGTTACGTACGAGCGATAACGCGGGCGTTTTAATAACGGAGAGCAGTGCCAGCATTTTCTCTCTTGTTCGACATTTAACCGATCTCCTTTTTCGCCTTTGTCGCTTCGGCCCTTCTCGCAGAATTGTTTTTCCCCGTTTCACGGTTACATCTCTGCTAAAGCAGCGCGGATCAGCAAAACTCAAAGCATTCCCCTGTACCGACAATGCTCCTTTCCCCTCTTTCCTTTGTTCGTGAAGGCCCGAAGGAGAGAGAATAATATCTTAAAAGTCGGGTCAGTATTGGACTTGACGATAGTTCTTTGCATTCGTGAGTGTCAAATAACAGAAACTGCAAAAATGTATATATTTGAAAAAACTTTCCGTGGCTTCTAAAATAAAGCAATACTTTTTTTACAATAATAATTATATATTTTCCCATTTTAATTAAGATAAAAAATTTTTTAATTTTTATTAAATTTGTTTTATATCTATGTTATATCTATATATGTGTTTGGATAGAATATAATAAATCTGTATTATTTAACTTAGTCCTTGACTGTAAGACTGTAAGATGTTCTATAAAATCATAATTTTTTTCGAAAATAGAAAAAATATATATCTATAAAGTAACTTTAAATTTAGATAGTTCATTAATTTGCATTTCCCTTAATTTTGTTCTTTTTACAAGCTTTATTGAAGATAGAGCTGTGTATGGGAGAAAAAACGGTAATGCTTTTTTTCACTATGCTTTATAAAACTTAAGGCACATTTAGAAAATTTTTTTATATTATATCTATTAAAATATATATAGTTTATTCCGCTAATTAACAACTCCGAAAATTTAAAGAATTTCGTTTTTAGTGATTAAATTTTTGCTAAATGCGTTTCATTCATATTCTTTTGGAAGAAGACAAAATAATTTTGAGCATTCTCCCCGGTTTATTAAACCAGTTCTTTCACATGCGTTTCTTGACATTTGTGGATTATCTAGGGAGGTCGTTGGAAATTTTGCACAGAGAACAATGGCCAAGTCAAAAGTGATACAGGTGAGTTTGCCTATTCCCCGCGAGCGAAGGTACTGAAAGCAGCTAGGTAAAGCTGCGCATGGCAGTAAAAATATAGTAACGCTCACTATGCTTGAAATACATATAAAAAAACCATAAAAAAATACGTTAATGTCGTCACTCTGCTGATGCTTTTACTAAATTCACATTATTCAACAAAAATGTCTTTATTATGGTTTCTGAAGTATCATGAAAAGATAAAAATGAAACAGAGTATATATAAAGTTCAAGTATTTTTAGCTTTAATGCTAATACAATTTAACTCATCAAACGTAAGTTAACGAGTTGTTAAAATAGTTGGGTTACTGTTTTAATAATATACCATTTTAAAAACAAATTAGCTTTCATCGATTGCATTTTTATTCGTGAACCAATAAACGACAATTCCTCAATCTCTTTAATGTTAGATATACAAGATAAACTTGAATAGTTGACAGATAATTGAAACAAATTTTGTTAACAACATCATTTTTCCACCGCTTGTGCATAAAATTTGTCTTCCATTTGTGGCGTTAAATTGAAATTGCTCGGCCATTGCACTGGCAACTGCGATTGTCGATGCCAGACACGCCGGAAGTCGACTTTATGGCAGCTGAGCGTGCGCGCATACGGTGGACGAACCTCAGGTCGAAAAGAGGAGCGAAATTGGAGCGAAAAAAGAACTGCAGAATAAAAACTAAAAGTTACGGGGCGGCCGCGAGACCTGTGCCAAAAAGGGTTGAAAGCGCGACGTGAACGCGCTCTATTCTCTTTCTATCCGCTTCTTTCTTTTTTCGTTTTAATTTCACGCCCGCGCCAATTTTCGGGCTTTTCGCAAGCGCGGGAGGTCTTCGGCGTCGATTTATTATGTCACGCGAAAAGGCCGGACAAATCGCTGAAAATCCATTCTCAAAGAAGATCGGAGCAGAGGCGCCATTTATATACCGCGCGGGGCTCAACAAATGCGCGAGTAATCAGAACGAGATGTGGCCATTACACCTGATCGCCATCGGATGGATTCGAATATTGAATATTCCGCAATCCAATCTCAGATGCTTTTATGATCAATCCCATCGTACCAAGCTCACTCTCCACAATTAAGAAGGAATTCCAACTTATTTGAAAAAACAAACTGATCACGGTGAGAAGATCGAGTTCCGTTCTTAATCGCGACGCGGCGCATCGATCACTCGCCAGCAGATCGCCCCAGTTCCTAGGCATACTGGATGGTACCTTAATGAAATTAATGGTATCAGTAGCAGTCGTACATTGCCGGTTAGCCAACGCTCTCGACAATGACGGAACCTAGTTGGCGAAACAACTTCGATAAAGCTCGGGATTCGTTCCGACAGTGACGAATACGCAACACGGACGTTTTGGATTTGGGTTTCTGCGTTCCATATTTTATCCCTTTTCTCCGTTTCTCTTTTCCCCTTTCTTCGCTCTTTCTATTATATTTATTTATATTCACATAATTATTTTATTCATTATCTCATTACTTTATATTATTATATTCATTGTTATTTTATGCTATCCGTTTAACTTCTATCTTATTGTATACCACCTTATTGTTTTTGCTTTAAGAACAAACATTGTTTCTGCGTTCTCTCTCCTGCTCTGATTATCGTTTTCGCTCTCTTGCTCTCACTCTCTTTCCCTTTATTGGAGCAGCATCTTAACTCGTTGCAGTACCGATTCGGAACTAAGCTCGTCTACTTGGTAAATGCCCTTTCGTGCGCCATTCGGCACGGACGTGTACGTACGTAATCGCCTTAGAATCGCCGATTCCATTTCAGTGCTTGCTGGAACAGATAGCTTCCTCGGCAGAGCGGACTTGCGCCTCAGAGATCGATTCCGGTGTCTGGTATCTTCGAATTCGTAGGTTCCGAAATCCATAAGTCTATACGATATCTCGAAAATCTTCTACAATCACTGATTTTACGGATAATAATTTATATCACGGTATACTTGGTATCTCTGATTTCAATGAGATTATAAAATCTGTATATATAGATAGAAAAATATTTTAATGATTGAGATCACAGTCTCCATCTTCAAATGCTTCGTCCAATTTAGACTGATGGTCGACCTTAACGTCAGCTGAACGTTTTAGCTAGCACATAATTCTCTGGTGAAGACGGCGGAGAAATTGAATCGCATCTGACGTGTCGGCCATGATCGAGCTTGCGGATAAGCTCGCGCCAACGATGACAATTTCTAAATCCCACTGGTATTAAGCGGTATATTTCTGATTTATAGTCAACTCTATGTCCAATTAAAGCAGACCGAGAAAACGCTTCCATTTTTATCTATCGGACCGCGTAATCTGCTACGATTAATAATATCACCGTACGTTCTTCGCGCTCAAATTAATATTAACTTTCTCTATTTATTCTGCAAACTTTTCAAACTATTATACGTACAATACTTATGTATATTATAAATTTTTTAAGTATTTTTATCATTATATTTTGATTGTACACACACATATGTATAAAGGATGCGATAAAGAACGTGGAAGTCGCTTAACTTTATTCTTGTTTTGTTTACAGAAGATGGGCTCAGTGCACGGCGAAGAGCTTCCATTCGTCTTCGGGGCACCATTGTGGGTGGAGGGATTTGGCCATTTTCCGAAAAACTACACAAGACTAGAAATGGCACTCTCGGAGAGTATCATGCAGTATTTTGCGAACTTTGTGAAAACTGGGTAAGTGGATTATATATAAAATTCTATCGCGCAATCTAATCGATAGAGAACTTGGGGGTTTAAAACTTAAAGGAAAAAGTTACAAAAGTAAAGATACCAATGTTTGGGGATTTTAATGATTGGATGATGCGGTAATTGCATAAATGTATTCCAAATGACAACTTTGTTCGCCATCACGACAATGTCGCACACTTTTTCTCCAGCAGCCTGAACGTTTACACATACTTGCTCTAAAAGCGAATTTTAATTTCCACTTGCGAATATTATTGAAATCCGTCTTTTTTTCTTCAAATTACTCGCCGTACTCTGCACGCACCACTTGCGGAATCAATTTGTGATGAAAAAAAAACCGCCGAAAAGTCTAATTTTCCATATTCATGAATGAACCAGAAAGTTCGCGTTTGGAGTGTGGAAGAGGAGGGAATGTGTCACAAGCGTCACAGATAGGGGAAAAGTGGTCACGTCTAGCAAACAAATTAGAGTAAAAATACTTTTATAATTAAATACCGTATTATTGATTACAAAAAGATAATGTTGCTTTTAATGAGATTTAAGATATAAGAGGAAGAGATAAAAATAGGAATCAGAATTTGTAAAAGAAGGATTTGAAGAAGAAATTTTCGTATATAAAATATTGTTCTCGTCGCTTATAACGATTTCAATATTACATACATTTTTGCGCAATATCGGAATCTACAAATATTTCGCCTCAACAAATACATGTATACGCATATCGTACGTATTAGTAATGCCCTGAAAAACCTACGCTAGTAAATATTCAAAAAAAATATATGAAATATTCATAAGCGCAAACATAAATTCGTCCAAGTTTTGCGATCAATAACGTGTTTGTTTGCCAAAATTTCATTTTTATTGACAATCTGTTACTGCGATATAAATACGCTCTGCATTTCAGAGATGTTCATCATAAAAAAAATTAATTAATTATTTAGTTACTAAATTATTAAATAATAGAATAACAGCACTATTAGTGTATAATGCTAATTGCACAAATTTATGAATCATGCGAATTAATGTTTAGTTCTGATTAAAATTTATGAGTATTTAATTGAAATTTTGACAAGCAAGAATATAGAGTTTTTTGTACTTTGGAGCTTCTCTCTCTCTCTCTCTCTCTCTCTCTCTCTCTCTCTTCTAGATTTGATATTCTATCAATTAATGATATTAAAAGTTTGAAATTTTTGAAATCTAAATCTTAATAAATACAATAACAATACGATAAATTCAAAATCTGAATATTACTATCTAACAATAATAATAAAACTCAACGAATTAAAGTTTGCTACTAAGGATTTATTCAGGATTAGAGAAAAATTGAACGTGTGGTCGTGTGGAGTCCTACAGAATTGCCTGCAGATATAGCTGTTATATCATACTGAAGTTAGCTCTCATGTGTTTACGCACGTACCTGTGCGCCTGTGTACGTGTACGTGACTCTTGAGGCCGCAAATGGAATATCGATGAAGGTGTGAGAAATATTTTACGCAGTGAAAATTCTCAAGGCCTTGTCCTTATTTGAGAGCCATTGCGTCTCTTCGGAGACCAAGGAAATGGAACCTGTCTACCACGCGAACATTTTTTCGCGAAAAGAGGAGAGGCTGCATTTTTCCTAGAGTAAAAGTAATACTTAAAGGATACTTAATGTCTTTGACACTTTCAGCAGCGCTAACCGGCCTGAGTTTCAGACTAGAAAGTTTATTCCATTATCTTTTTACACAAAATCGCGCACATACACAAACCAGAAGAGTCAGTAAGCTCAGCAGCGAATTTATTCCATAAATTTAACTTTAAAATTTTTAAAAAGGTTTTTTATTATTATTTAGAAAGATCTATCAGCCTATATATACATCAATTTGAATTATTCTAAGGGTCTGAAGATATAAAAACTTAATCATCTTCAATTATGTAACCTAAATAATTGTTAACACAATAAAAATAACACACAACAACAGCAGTTAAAAATCAAAGAATAAAATCGAATGATATAAATATTCGTGGAATATTTTTCCTCGGGAATATGCATCAACTGCGTTGGCGAAACATGATTATCCCGGGATAGTTTGTATTCCCCGTATATCACATTCCTAACTAGCGATTCGGTTCACACTCAAAAGACCTGGGACATCGATCTCTCTTGCCCGAATCGGCAATGCATCGTCGAAGCGAATTTCACGTCGCTTGGAGCGACGACGAGCATTGGAACATCGTCGGCTCGTTTCGACGCCGCTTTTGCATATTCATCGAAAGGACGAAGGGGTTAAACGAACTTTCGCATATGTCGCCAATAACTTCGTAGTTTCGCGGTAGACCCCCACACGTGGCTTAACTCCGGCAAGAGAGCGTGTCTGGGACAATGTGTATCGACACGCACGTGGCGTGTATTCGGAAACAGGCAGACGCGTACTGTACATGTTGTATCGAGCGTTCCCATAAAGGTTTTTTATTTGAAATTTGCTCGTGAATCTCACACACAAAATATACAAAGAACATTTACATTACTCATTGTCAGTTCCAAATTTAAAATATAAAAAATGACGTTATGACGATGGAGATAAAAATTATGATAATATATACTACCGGTTTAAAAATCAAATAATATTTTACGAAATTGATTCGGAAATGTGTTTTTTGTATACACGCATTACGAAATCATAAAACTATTAATTAAAGTCAAACGTCAGTAACAATATAATTCTTAAAATGCACAATAATATACTCCACATTTTTTCCGATTTTTATATACCATTATCTTATCAATGTAGGATAATATATGGATACAAGTGGAAGTAGGAATCTATTGATTCGAAATTCTCCATTATATTGCTAGTATAACACCTTGCTAGGACATTCCGCATTAAGCGTCAACGCGCGAGCGCATCCTGTGCGCGATCACGCACGGAGCAATGTAGTTTGTCTCACGTAATTCCTGTGTGTACGTGACCGCGTCTGAACTCGAAGCTCAAAATTACTCGCATTGTATTATACATGACAGTGGAGAAGCGTTGACACCACCAACCGATCCGATTGGTTAATACGTGACGTCTCAGAGTTCGTAGTTTAGTTCGTATAGTTACCGCTAAGTCGACGGATGTTGGCAAATCCATGTAGAAACGGAATATGCGGCTCAGCCACAGCACATTGCCGGAATCTTCCTTTTGCATGAAATATGCGCGCGATTTCCGCATTGTCACGTTTATGCATATAAATGAAAGAGAACGCAATCAAATTCTGCCGGCAAGGTGTGCACGAAATATAAAAAATCGTAGAAATCAGCGGTGCGATTAAACGCACGTGAGTGCGTTTGAATCTCTCGAAACACAACTAAATGTTTTCCGCCGCGCTCGCGCTCTCCTCGTTTACCGTTAAAACGTTAAATAACGACGAAGGGAGTAGGAGGATGACCCTCGACAGTTTAAAAAAAATGCGTGAGCAATGAAAACGAGCCGGTGATTTCATCCGCGCGTCGATCCGGATTATAAATCATCGCTCAAATGCTCATTTCGGCCGATAAACGCGGCAAATGTGATTCAAAATAAACATTAAAAACCCGTTTCCGCTTTGGAACCGCGTTCCATCACACATTTTATCGGCCGCCGAAGTGATGGCGCCGGGTGTACGTGCATGTACGCGTGAGCGTAAAAAGTAAATTTGCAAGCGTCAGAGAAAACGCTTGCAAAATGATTCCCAATTTTACGCGTTACCGCTCTCTCGTTCGATGTCATGACTGAGTCCTCAAAAGACAAATGATTATCATTTTTCTTCACAGATGAACACTTTCGATCATCTGCAAAGTCGATAAAATATGCCAATATCAATTATTTATTCTATTAATTTTTGGCAAATATCACTCAACGTTGCGTTTTTTAAAATAAAATATGTATTTTTTATTAAATACAGTTTTCCTACACATTTTTTGATAACTCAATTTTAATTTTAGATAAAAATTTACTTAAAATTTGATATTAAGAGTTTTATATTTCCTATAATTCTTTTATTTTGAATAAATTATGACTAATTTTTAACATTTTGCTTAGAAGCCGTCAAGCCTTTGATATATCGATGATCCTTATTCCTTAGCGTAGAGAAAAAGTTTCTAAATTTCGAGTAAAGTTTGACGTTTCCAGACATAACACGTTTTGCGGGACAAAATGTCTCCCAGTGGGTTTTTGTAAGAAAAGACTTTCAAACAAACTAATAGAGAAACGTCCAACGAGAAAGAACCGATTGCAATGTTGTTAGTTTACCGAATGTCACCACGAGCAGCGGTATTTCCCCGAAATTGCATTTCCTGAAGCGATAAAGTTACTTCCTGTCACGTGTGTTTTTATCACGAACAAGAATTCATCACGGACTCCATCGAGAATCTATCAAGATATAAAAAATGGACTAGATTATTGTGGCCAGTATTAAAATATACGACATTAATTTATTGATCAAAGTAATCAAGATTTAGCGGACTATAGTAATCTAATAATGCTAGAAGAAGTTAGAGATTTTGAGGTAAGACGACTTGAAAATCTATATATTTCAAGTCGCACGAAAGTCCTACGAAAGATTCGAGCAAACCGTAAACGGAGCACCTTCCTCTTTGACAGATCAAGATGTTGCTTTGAAAAGATGGGATCTCGGGCACAGAGAAAAAAAGCGGATCGCAATCTATATAGAGGCATCGCGTTGTCTCTTTACGGAGCTTTGTACGATGTCAGACCAATCTACCACCGGGCGCAATCTCTACTCGAATGCCCTCTCCATTTCCATTATTGGTGAGGAGTTGCCCCGCGCACACAATGGCGAAACGATTGCTCTATCCGCCACGTCCTCGGATCTACGGGGAGTCCTTAGAAACGTGTGCCGCTCTCCGCAAATGCCGATTCTATTTGGAATTTAATCATACACGCGTATAATGTAACGAAATTACAAAACTCTCGTACGTGTGAGCAACTTTTTAGCAGTGTACGTATATATTGCAAATATTGATCCGTATGGGGGCATTCACGCGCGAGCAAATTTTCGTGATAATTATCGCAAAAATATATTATTGCCAAGTGTCGCTAATTATCAATGATAAATGAGCGAAATCGAATACAATTCGTTGCTGTTAACTAACGCGAGTTCCGCATAGTCCGGGAAAAATATAATTATCTACAATATGACCCGAGATAAATATTAATTGTCTGTTGACTGTGCACTTTAGCTTCATCATTTCGGTATTGATTAAAATCGCATCGAATAGTTACAATAGTTATATGTAATTTGCAAAAATTGTCTCATTGATCGCGTAATTTGTTAAATTATGACTTTATTACTGTATCATTACTTTTTTTTTTTAGAATATCAAAATTGTACTATGCTGCACAAAAATTGTATCTGTCTACACGAACGTGGTTTAAATTGAATGTGTCATTTAATTTTCTGTTTTTCCTATGACCACGTTTGTCTCGTCACCAGTTGAACACCATGCGACATGTTGGATTGGCACTAAAAACACTCACGACACATCGATATAATTCTGTGCGTAATCCTGTGACGTAATCCTGTGCGGTAATCACGATTAAACTCGAGTGATTAAATGCCGTAAATCTACTTCGAGATGATCTGATAGATATCGCTGCCAGTACTACCTGTCCATAACAGCCGCGTAAACTGCAATCGATATTTCGCACTTCGCAATTAGTGTCGGGTGTGTAATGTCTAGGGCTATTAGATAGTTGAGTCAACTGCGTTGATTATCTGTTTTTCCAAAGCAAGTCGCACAGAAACTATTTCAAAGTAAGATTAAAGAAATTTGAAAGAAGATTAACAAAATTGATAAAAATTTTCAAAGTATTGAACTGTTTAAGATTTTAAACTTGAAGCGTTACTTCCTTCCAGTATTTCCGTACGTTTCCGATATGTGGCTTTATTAATTTTTTTTTTTTTTTTTTATTGTTACTTTCCAATATTCTCAAATGTTTTTTAAATGACACGTAATTAAAATGCGCAATACAAAAGCTTTGCTGATTTGTCGCGATATTCACAATATTTGTGTGTTTATTGCTTTAAAATTTTCTGATATTTTGTCATGTAATGGCACGATTTGGAAATAACAGCGGCCATCGATCACGTATTTATTATCGGCCAGCGAAGCGCAGTTTATCATAATTTTACAGCAAATAGAGCCGTCCATACCATCACACGTCGTAATTCAGGCTTGACTGACACTAACTCCACGGGATTATCCCTTCTGCTCACCTAAACTTGCATCCTACACCGGTATCTATCTTTCGGAATGACTTTGAGGTTTAATCGGTATTGCCGGAAGCCAATGATTAACGCGTCGATACATGAAATAGTCAGTTTTGGAATAAAGTATTTAGGGATAAAGAAAGCTTAATGCATCACGTACACACACTAAGAACTTATATTTTATTATAGTTGCGTGTACGTGACCTGTGTGATATTTTACTAGAAAATGTATTATTTGTAATTTAAATAATATTGTGTCAAACTTTCTTTGTACGGCGTCATATTTAATAAAAAGCCAGATGCAGAAGCTGCGAAAATCCAAATACGCCAGTATTTTGGATTAATTAATGGAGCATATGGGACGTGCAAATTAATTAATATATTTCAGTTCTTCTGAGTAATTAAAACAGGTGTAACACGTTCGTAACTATCGGCTTGTATAGCCGACGGCAAATAGATGAATACGATGCGGAACAGTGTAAACAATAATTTAGCATAATCATCGAGGACTAAACATTGCGACCGTCCAATAACCGCGAATGTGGCAATCGCAAACATTGGCCGATGCTCGCACCCCTCGCCTTTATGCCCACCCTCCCGCCCCCTCACCTCCCTCGACTGCACCACCACCGTACTTTACTGTCGTAATCCACGGGTAAACTCCACATAATGCAGACATACGCGGTAACGCGCCGTCGAAGCTGCCCTTAATGCCCTCTGGTCTACGGCTAAAGCTTCCATTGCAACGTTTATGCATTCTAATCCCTCTTGAGCACCCAAGAAAGAGAGAACTCAAGATTCATACATGCAAAACTAACCAGCTCGCTCGTACCTGTCTTTAGCTGTTTGCAATCTATAGTCATGAAAGGAAGAATAATATGGAACGAAAGTACAAGCTACATCTATCACGCGGAAAAGTTTCTCCTTTTTTACTGTTAGACGATAAATTCTCATTAAAATGTTAAGGATTATTTTTGTATAACATTTTCAATTTTACAAAGATTTTGAAGATTTCGAGAAAGTAGATAGAGAATCTGTTATGATAACTTGATACATTTTGTTACGTACATTCTTTTGCAGTATTCCAATGTAGGTATATCAAAATATTCAAAATCCCTTGTCGCTACGTTCTTTGAAAACTGAAAGCTCACTGCAACAGGTAAGATCGACAGGTTAGACTTTCTTCTCTCGCTGTCTCCTTCCCTCCTCTCTCTTTCTCTCTCATGGATGAATGGAAAGAAAACAAGCAGAATATAGTGAAATGATAAAAGAAGAAAATGAATCAATAACGTAAGATTGACAATTGATAATTGTACAACAAAAAAGCGCAAATGAATAAGATTGATAAGATAATCGCAGCATCTCATAATTCCGAATAAATGCATTGTTTAAAGCATCATATATTATATAATCCGCATTCATAAAATATGTATATATACTAGACATTTTTTCAAGAAGACAAAATTGCTCATTTTTTAGATTTTTAATTAATAAGCGCAGAAATAAGCATGCGTGAGTGAGTGATTCTATACCTATAACTTTGTCAAGTATACGCAAATAAAGTTTCTAAAGTGGATTATCAATTATAAACTCATTCTGCTTGTAATCTAAAAAGTTTATATGAATTGTGCAATGCTATGAAAACTATCGGGTCTTTGAATCTTAGAGTTTTATGAATGCATGTTTTTATGCATGTTAGAACTAATATCTACAGTAAATCTGTTTCGTGTCAATATACAGAAGTTGTTGAAATCACCGAAGATTTTGTGGCTGTTGGCACGCAACGAATTAAACAATGGCGCTGCGCAACTTATAATGCGCTTCGCGTTCGTTGTTTAGATTGCAAATAATTGGCCGGGACAAACTTTCGGCCCTATCAACAAGTTCTCGGGATCTCTAAACGTCGTTAATTACGCCACAGTTGGCCAGAACTTTTAACCCTGATTCAACGCGCGCTTCATCGGATTGGTGGATCCTTAAAAGTTCCTGTTATTTCGTGGCACGTTTCTCGTTTTCAAACTCAGTTTAGACGAATGAACAAAGTGGTAATTACACCGTATACTCGTTAACAGGGCTTAGTAGCAAGAATGGTAACAATCGGCTTCGTGCGAGTTGGAGAAGTAAATGCACAGATACACAGATTTCGAAAATGCAGCCAAACTATTTATTTACTATTTATTTTACGAAAAAGTTAGATAAGTACATTTTACTGAATAAGAATGGAGATGAAAATATATGATTCCTTTATACTTTAAAAGAAATAGTACCTGAAACCTGGGGCATTTATTAAAGTTGTTCAGATTCTCAAATATCAGGATCTGTACATATACATTTCCTAAATGAAGAAAACAACAAATTGTTTTTTTAAATATTTACTTCAATTTTTACATTTGCCTATTCAATGGAATCAATTATTATGGTATTGGATCCACCGTTCTACATACGTCAGACAGAAACTATTCAAAAGTCTGGATTGTTGCTTTTGTGGTGCTGGAGAACAATTCATACATTTTGTTCTTGATTGCGGGAAACAAAAAGTCGCATTTTTTGCCAAAATTGTAAAGGAAAGGAACTTTTGGAAAATACCTGATAATTACGTTATCATAAAACCTTACGGATGGATAAATATACAGATATATTACTTGAAAGAAGTAATGTTTTAAATTTGAAGCATATCTTTAAATGTTAAATACTATTTATAATTTAATTGTGATGATGTGACAATAAAATATTTGCAATTTTTTGAATAGAATTTTTCAACATTTATTGTGTATCCTATTTAGAGAGAGAGAGAGAGAGAGAGAGTTTGTTTATCGACATCAATATCGATATAATTCGCTTCTTTTGTTGTAACGTCAATGAACCTTCAACGATGACTCACTGTTAATTCCACCATGAAGCGTTGCTCGAGGCTGTAATCCAGATGGATTTGGAAATTCGCAGGAAGCATTGTGGTTCCTCCGAGGAAGGAAGAGCGTTATAACGACTCGCTACGGCATTCCGGGGAGAGAGCATGGTCCATGATGCCGCTAATGCTCTCTCCCTCTCCCCCTTCCTTACCGTGTCGCGCGCGCGCTTCACGTAACCGCAAAACCTGCTCGTGTCTCGTATAGGGGTTGCGAGGGGCGGTGAGGTGGCTCCAAGGGGCATGGGAAGAGGTAGAGCTTAATTACGTACTACCTGGATATGCACGTTGGGTAAATTGCTATTAGTGGTTTCGGAGACACGTTAAAATGGTTACCACAGCAACGGCTTTCATTTCTGTCTCAATGACAAAGGGAACGATGAAGAGTGATGGGCGCTGGCTTTGAGCTGTGGTATCGAGGTGCCGTAGGGTACATGAGATACTCGTTTACGTTTCAAAGTTTTACAATGTACACATGATTAAAGAAAACATAATCAAAAGCACAAAAGAACTCGCGAAAGACACTAATTCTGTTGACGTTAACTTGTTCGGATGAAAGATATTATACACGATTGTATTCGGAAAGCGGGAGAGTCTTTT